GAGAAGAAGCCATGGCATATCTAAAAATACTATTTAATAAATGTCTATTCGAAGGCAACATACCCGAACAGAACAATGAAATACTGCTAAAACAATACTAATACACAAACGGGCGACACCACAGACCTAAAAAAATTATCGACCAATTTCACTTCTTTCACAACTTTACAAAACCTTTACAAAAAATAATTACAAACAGGTTAACAATTAAATTTGACGGATGTCAACCAGTAGAACAAGCCGGATTTACAAAAGGGTACAGCACCTGTGACCATCTATATACTTTGAAAATCCTAATAGAAAAGACTAACGAATACAATCTCCCATTATGTCTGGCTTTTATAGATTATGAAAAAGCTTTTGATAGCGTAGAACTATGGGCAATAGAAGAAGCATTAGTCAACAATCGGATCGACTCCATGTATAGAATATTAATACATAATATTTACGAACAAGCTAAAATGATAGTGACGTTGGGTAATGGAATCGAAACAAGACCAGTAAAAATCAACCAAGGCGTAAGACAAGGAGACACAATATCTCCAAAACTATTTACAGCTGCCCATATCTTTAAGTTAATAGACTGGGAAAATAAGAGAATGCCTATTAGCGGAAGATACTTGAACCATCTTAGATACGCAGATGATGTAGTACTAATAGCCGACACGGGGAATGCACTGAATACGATGTTTGAGGAGCTACCACAAAATCCCTAAAAAACGACTGAAAATGAATTTCAGCAAAACTTAACTAATGTCAAACAAAGATAACAAACCTATGATAAACATCCAAGGAACAGAGACAAAACACGTAGATGAATATACATATCTGGGTCAAATTGTCAAGGTAAGCAAAGAAAATCAGACTACCGAAATAGCAGACATGTAAAAATGGGATCGGCAGCATTCGGAAAGCTCTCATACGTACTTAAAAATAAAAACATACCTCAAAGCCTGCGAACCAAAGTGTTTAATTCCTTTATCCTACATGTACTTACATATGAAGCTCAAACCTGGACATTCACTAAAATAAACATGGAGAAGTTAAAAAACCTCAAAGAGCTATGGAACAACAGATGCTGGGTATCTCACTCAAAGACCATAACACCAATGAAGACATTCATAAAATATGACGATATTAAAAGAATTTCCAATGTGGAAACGTCTTACAAACAACAGAGATAAATGGCGAGAATTAGGAAAGGCCTATATTCGGCAATCCGAATAGAGAAAAAGACCGAGACCAGATACTAGATAGACAGAAAATCCTAGCTATTATAATTAATATAAATGGTGACACTGATTCCAGTAGCAACTTGATATAGACAGTGATTAGTAAGGATAAAACGAAGTTTCTCTAAAAAAACATAAGATGGATGAAACAAGTATAAAGCTAAAATCTGAAAACAAAAGCATGTACTATTGTGTAACTTTTATGCACCACACTTTTTTACATAGTTCACAAATTATATAAAACCCTCATATACACAATTGTAATGTATCGACCAGAAAACTGATTAAATAAAGTTGAAAAAAAAAACATTTGAAAATCTAGTTGTAACAGAATATTTCGAAGTAAATAAGTAATAAAAAAGTGTTATTTTTTTATTCTATTTTACTTCTTTATACTACACAACAGAAATCAAGAAAGCAATTCAAGAATTAAAAAACCATAAGTCACCTGGAAAAGATGGAATAACTGCAGAGATGCTGAAGAGAGGAGGGAAAATAACTAGAGAAGTTCTACATATCCTCATGAACAAAATATTGACCACAAAAGAAATACCCGATAGCTGGAACGATGCGGAGACACTATTAATGTTTAAAAAAGGTGACCGAAAGAACTTAGAAAACTATAGACCTATAACATTACTAAGTGTTGTATTTAAACTACTAACGAAGATCATGACAAATAGACTAACAACTAAGCTTGACGAATACCAAGCAAGAGAACAAGCGGGATTCAGAAAGGGTTTTAGTACTAGCGACCATCTGCTAACAGTAAAAATATTGATTGAAAAGTCGAACGAGTATCAAATCCCATTATACATGGGCATTCATAGACTTCCGAAAGGCGTTTGACAGCATAGAACATTGGGCCATCAAAAAACTCACTACAGAACGGCAGAATTGATTACAGGTACACGGACCTAATAACAAACATAATAATATGCAAAAATGAGAGTACCACAATAAAATTGACGAACGAACACGCTAAAGAACCAATAAAATTCGAAAGAGAAATCAGGCATGGAGACACATACGGAATACGAATAAATGGAGAGCTCTTGAACCACTTGAGATATGCAGATGATATAGTTCTGATAACAGATAAGAAGGAAGAGTTACAGAAGATGGTTGAGGAACTAGATAGAAAAGCGACAGAGGTAGGTCTAGAGATGAACTATAGTAAAACCAAGACTATGACAAACCAAGAAGACCAATTAGAAATAGTAGTCAAACAGAATAAATTAAGAGCAGGTGGCAGAATACATATACCTAGGACAGATAATAAAGCTGAACAGGGACAATCAAACAGAAGAAATAAAAAGAAGAACTAGACTAGCATGGACCTCATTGGGTAAACTATCATTTATATTCTAAAAAATAAAAAGTATCGGTCTTAAAGACAGGAAATAAACTTATGAATCAGAGCAAAAACAAAGGTGAACGATGTATCAAAACAGGTTGCAAAACTTAAATGGAACTTCGCCGGTCACACTCTCCGGCAAAACGATGAAAGATGGAATAAACGAATTCTACAGTGGAGACCATGGGAAAAGAAAAGAAAAAGAGGAAGACCACAGATGAGATGGACTGACAATCTTAAGAGAACGGCAGGAAAGGACTGGATGCAGACCGCCCAAAATAGAGAGCAACGGAGATTAACAGGGGAGGCCTATGCCCAAGAGTGGGCGTTTAAGGCTGATTAGATAGATAGATAGATACTACACAAGCGGCTCAAATTATATTTAATGTAAAATTATGACTTAATTCTTGTTTTGTATTTCTATTTTTTTTTTAAATTATTCACTTCTGCAATCATTATCTGATAGTATATTTGATTTAAAATAAATTCAAGAATTTTCAATAAAATGAATTCAAGAATGTCAACTTAGATTTTTAATGTAGATAATGACGTGAATGGGGAATGATATTTTACCAACTGTACTTCATTAATTTTAAGAAGTAGGCTTTTGGTAAGTACCTATTATTTTTTTGTATTATTCTCGAATCAACACCACCCTGAACAAAATTATCACCAGCAGGCCAATGTATGTAGAGCCTAAATAGAAGGTACATAACAATCTTCGATGTCTTACCAGAATTGTATGTTTTTATTAAAATGCATGCATAAAATACATCCCAAATACCCATAATTTAATCAGAGTGTCGATAAAATGTAATGTTTTCACCTTTTTATACACAGGGTGTCCCATAATTATTTATGTGTGTGTTACATTGTGTAAAAGGTTTAATAAATTATTTCAATTATATGCATTTTGTTTGCAAAAATTATCTACCACTAAAACATTTAATATTCACTGGTATTTAAGACCTTTTGAATGATGTTTCAATTTACATAAGTTTTTGTATTTTTTTTTCATTTTATGCACGTCTCTAAAAAATACGTTTATTTCGAAAACGGTGTACTTTTTTGATTTGAAAGAGGAATACCTTTTTTGTGTAGAATTGAATGTTATTTCATGTTTTTTTCTATAATGTTTACACAGGGCGGACAAAAAAATTATGGCCACATTAATGAACCAATGTTATAGTACGTGGCGCCACCAAGTGTCAATGGTAAAACTAATATCATTTTCATATTATGCATACTAAATAATAGCAAGATACCAAATTTCACTTAAATCGGTTGAATAGTTTTCAATATATCCCTAAAAATAATATAAAAAATATTAATGAATCACCCTGTAGAACGAAAACTAGACACAAATTTTCCCTAAGCAATTTGAGCTCAAACGCTTTATTTTGATGTCAGCTATCACCAATTAGCTAATGTCTAATTAATTATGGGACACCCTGAATATAGAGCATCGAAGGTACATAACAATCTTCGACGTATCACCAAAATTAAGATTTTTGATTTAAATATATGTTCTGAATGTCTGAAAGATGGTTTTAATCATAAATATGTTTTATACAGAAAATACATCCCAAATACTTATAATTCAGAGTGTTAATAAAATGTAGGTTTTCACCTTTTTATATAAATGTTACTTACTGTGTCTAAAAAAAATAACTTATAAATTTGAATCCTAATTGAAATTTTCTGCTCAATTTAACGTGATTTTACCTCCTAACTCTGAGCTAGATTACCTAGGATGTCTCAAGGTAGTGTCTTGATGAGCCCTAGGCAAAATGCAGGTGACTATCTGCATCCTATTTGCTATTTATTAATATTTAATGTTTTGTTTATTTAATGTAATAATACTCTTTTTCTCTTTGCTTATTAGAAATTATTGAGACTGAGTGGCTAATGCCTATGTCAACAAAAAAGACGAAAATACTATGCAATTTACGCAATATATCTATGCAATAATGAAAATTTATTTCTTTTTCAATTAAGATTTTATTATTATAGTAGGATTTTTCGCTTACTGATGTTCGTTTATATTTTTTTTCGCTTTTGATTATATTTAAATTCTATTCTATTTAAAAATAAACTAAGTGTGTCGAAGATAATGTGCTTTATTAAGAGTTAGTTGATGGTGGTGGCAGAAAAATTTTCCAAATTTTTTGAGCAGCGTCTCATTATAATTTTTTTTTAAATGTCTGCTACACTATATAACTTTAATATAAACAACTGGAACAAACCACTACGGATTGATTTGAGAATAAAACCAGTAACCATAATTTTTTAACTCCGTAGTTAGACTAACTGACCGAAAGAGTCCGCAGTCAATAACCTAACGACACAAAAACATCCCTTGAAATATTTTATGCGGTGTATGGGTATTAAACATTAAAATATACACTAACCTACTCTGGTTCCTGTTGTCAGGATTAGGGCTATGGCCCCTCACGAACTGTCCGTCGCACTTGTGAAAATTAAGCAGCCTCCTACCCCCGTGGACATCGGAGGCGGCTGAGGATACCGAAAATAAGGACAAGTCGGTGGTAACACTCTCATGACTCGGAGATCTCAAAATTCTGCAGGCCACGCTTAAAACCGGCGTCTGAGGCGTCAATTGTTCATTTTTCTCGCCTTCCGCAGTCATATTTAATACCCGGCACACTAAAAGAATTTTACATCCCGCAGGAAACGCTGTTATGATCGTTTCAGATGTTTTTCACAGCAGCGAACACGAAGGATTTACGCCCGCTACTATACGTAAACGAATACGAACCTGCAATCGATAGAGTCGCAGTAGCGGCAGCGCGATGCACAATTTCAAGGATTGTTTAATCTTGACGCAAAGCCGAGAGAAAAGTGTGTCACATGTGGACCTCGCGATCTTTGATGCTCTTCTTCTGACAGGTAATTAGGTTGGAGGGATGGGCTTCGAGGTTGCTGACAGGTAAATTTCACCTGTACTGTATATGCGTATTGAGGGTTTAGTCTAGCCGTAAGGGTTTACTCGCTATTATTTTATGTAGGTTAAGAGTCACTGATCTAATTTTGTTCTTAACATGTATTTTTTTTCAAGAGTAATAATAAAAAATTAAAAAAAAATGATGGCATGATATTTGAAAATTGTAGACACAGAATATATATAAATATATATATATATATATATATATATATATATATATACAGGGCGTTCATAAAGTATGAACACGGTTTATCATCTAATGACTTAATTCAGAGGTAAAGCTCTGACAGGTCGATTTTTATTTGTGTTTTATAACCTTTTTGCAAAAAAAAATATTTTTTACCCTCACTAACTTAGCAGATGTGACGCCATCGATAATTTTTTTAAACAGAAAGGGCATATTTTTATCTAATATATATATATATATATATATATATATATATATATATATATATATATATATATCTATATTGTTATGCTATTTAAATTGTATTATATTGCTTATTTAGAAAAAATCCTGTCTATATTTATTAAATGATCTAACCTCCAATTAATCACAATAAATCAACATTAATTAATTACAATCTCAGGCTATTTAACTTGTACTATTTACCTTTGATCGTGGATTCAAAATATTTTCCAATTGGCTTCCTAATTGGGATAGGTAATATGACCTGAATAAAATACATAGAATTTCAATTGAACTATATGTGAGATGTCCTTTATTTTAATGAAATTTTATATAACAATCAATCCTGTAATATTTGCAATAAACTAACTTTAAATATATGAGAAGTTGTTTTCTATCATGGACCCAAATGTTATTTTACATTGATTTTTAATATGTGTTATAACTAAGCTCTTTTTATAATTTTTTTTTAAATGATCGCAAAATTAACTGTCTCTATTATTTATTCAATTTATTTAATTAATAAATGAAAACCACACTCCTGCTCTAATGAAAATTGACTGATCTTTCTTTCTCTGCCGTTGCAATTCTATGGCCACGCCAAAAAAAAACCTTTCTCTGCTTCTGCTCCTATTGTGGTCCAGATGACGTACACCTTTCTCCTATCTGTCCTTGTATCTGCAACCCAACAACTCGTGTTATTCTATGCAGCCTCCTTTTGAGCCAATCTCCGCGCCTGTTTATAACTCCAAATGTTTCCGGCTTCGTCTGGTATTAATATTCTTATACCCTTTGGTTTTTCTATCTCTCTGTACCCCGTTCCTCACACTGGTCAGCTTTTACACAGCAAATAAACACGCCCGGTAAATTACGTCTTCGGGACTTCAAACAAACACAAATCACAAAGCTCCTTCCTTCTTGGACGACGAAAAATGACTAACTAACTTTTTTCCTCTCTCCTATCTCATAGCCAAAACCACCACCTCCTTGCATTCAAAAATTGACCAATAAAAATCATCCACCTCTGTGACGTATATCGTTACCAACCAACTCTCTCTATAAAACGTCATTCGGGTAATTCCAGAAAACAACATTCTTTAATTATTCTAACTAAATCTATCTGCTTTACAAATATTTCTTACTAATAGCTACAAACGATACCTGTTTCTCAATTCAATGTCTTATGTTAATAAACTTTTACCGATATAATCTTTCGGGGAGAAAAACCACCGCAAATCCCGGTCTATTGTTTAAACACTTTCTATATACACTTTTATTCCGGGTAAATCCATTCCACAATAACCGACTTATTTAAATTTCTTATCGATAATATTTGAAAGTCCTGTCTCTGAGGCCTAATGAACAATTCTTTGAACAACTTAAAATACATATTTTGTCTTATACAGGATGTTTGAAAATTTATATGCCCGTGTCTTTATGAAATATCAATACTTTTAATTTTTATTTAAGTAATAAAATTTGTATATCGGTTTTTTATTGCTTATGGACATTCAAAAGTACAACAATATATATATATATAATATATATATATTATATATATATATAATATATATATATATATATATATATATATATGTGTGTGTGTATGTATGTATGTGTAGAATAAAATTTGGACACGCCTGCTATCCTAGTCATCTGTGCAAACTAAAAATCGTAAATTCAAATTTATGTGTAGACTGTCAAAAAGAAGGGGATCTAAATCACATTTTCTTCGAATGTAAAAAATACACAAAACAAACTGAAGATCTAATAAAAAATTAAGTTAACATCAAAATTTTTCCTCCGTACAATATGTGCTATCTGCTATCTCTAAATATAAGAGTTGTAAATGAATGTTTGATGGAATTTATTTGCGAAAGTAAGCGCAATATTTAACTGTAATTAGAATCCTAACCTCTGTTTTACCCCATTTGTTATTACCTTTTATCCGTGACATAATCTAGTTTGTCTTAAAAGCAATGTCTTGATGGGTCCCTAGACGAGAAACGAGTGTCCATGTTTTATCCCTATCCTATCCTTAATAATAATTTTAATGCTTAAAATTTGTAAGGATACTTAAGTTTGAATTTTATATTATCCTTTTATATTGTACTACTCAATTTGTTTTTTCTGTGTAGAATATTTTCATGTTGTGACTGGCTGTATGGCACTTGCCTATGCCATTAAAAAAAATGTATGTATAGGGTAGATGGGGTAAAAGTCCGTATTTTACATATATGCAATATTTGCCACACTTTTGATTGCAGTATACATATTAAATTTGTCAGGCCATTAGGATAACTACTAATGCCCTTAGCTGTAAATATAAAACGACAGCTAAATAGATGTAAGAAAAAAAACTATAGCGCAAAGTACAATATTTTACAAATCGGATTCTTGCCCCATTAATTGGGGCAAAAGTCCACATAGCGGATCTTTGTCCCCTTTCAATAAAAATAATTTTATAAAAATAAAAATTAACAACGTATCAAATACAAATCTTTATTTTGTCAAAAAACATTTACTAAAAACTTATAAACATACAAACAAGTAGATATATGACCTAAACGCAAAAATATAATAAATAAAAAAAATTTTGAAAGCTGAAACACATTTTAGGTTACAACTAGTGCAACATTGAATCACTTAAATCGGTTGAAAAGCTCACAAAATTCTTAAATCTAGCAGAACTACCTAGCAATGGCATGGAAAGTTTCCTTATAATGTCTGTTTTGATAACAAAAAACTCTTCGTCAGTTTCTGAAAGACGCATTGTATTGAATATTCATATTCCATTTTATTTAGTATATTTTGTTTTTCTTCCAATGCTTTTCTTAATGTATTTCTATTTTCCTTCATGCTTACCTTCCTTTATTTCCCGTTCATTTTATATTTCTTCTCCAGCTCTGAGATTTCCATTTGCTCTTTATGTGGAGTAGATGTCAGAAGTGTAGATTTCAATCCTTTTCTTGTTCGTTTTCTCTTTTTGGTTAGTTTTGGCAATGGAATGATATCTGACGGAAACGTAGTAGACATTTCATTTTTCGAGCTTCTAGGTTTTGATTCCAGGTTATTTGAAATGCTAGCTCTATCTGGTAGATTTTTAATATTTCGTTTTTCTGCTTCACCACTTGGTTCTTCTGCTTTGTCATTTTCCTGACTTTTATCTTCGTCAAATATAATCCTTAATTGTGTATCTTTATTATTTCGGTCAAGATCATCTACTTCTTTTTGCTCTTGTTCAATTACTGAAGAAGTTAAAAAATCTTCTTCAGTAAAGATATTTCCATCTAAAGGGAAAATACCTGTCCGTTTTAAATCCATTAACAGCTTTTTCTATAGTAGCAGTTTTCTCATAGGCCTGCTTGAATGATCCAGCGACGTGGTATTCAGTGATCACTTGCCCGGGATTGGATGTGGTCCAATTATCACACAAATCATCATAGTAAGCTTATAATGGCCTAAAAAAGTTTCTGTCCAGTGGTTGAGTTCGATGGCTGCTATAGGGTGGGAGGCTGAGCAAATGGATGTTATTATTTTTTGCGTAAGTGATGGCCTCTAGAGTGGTATGGGATATGCGGTTATCCAAAATTAATAGCACTGGGCTTTCAGCGGTAGGATTTGTATATTTGCGAAAGTGCTCCAAAAATTGAAGAAACAACCGAATTCATTTATCCAGAATCAGTTACAGCCAAAACAGAACCAGTTGGAGCATCCTTTATCAAAAGAGGATTTAGTCTTATGCGTGCGAAAATAAAGAATGGTGAAACATAGTGTCCTGTTGCACTCATATAACATGCAGTTGTCACAATTCTTCCTTGCTTTGCACCTACATGTTTTTGCTACTTCTTTTTTTTCAGTGGGAGCAACATGTTTAGGTAATTTATTTGGTACTATTTGTAAACCACTCTCATCCATGTTGTAGATGGAAACTTATATTTCTCCGAGACAGATTCTAAATTTTGAAAATACTGTGTCAATTGATGTTTGTTAAACCCCATAGTCCTAGCTACACTGGTTTTTCGTGGTGTACGTAGTGAAAGGCGGTTTCGTTTCATAAAATTTCTAGTCCAATCTCTACCTGCTAGTTTTGATCGCTTAGAAAATTGATGATGGATACCATTTCTTTCTGCAAACTGATATGCCAGAAAACGAAGCGATTTTAGGGTAAGCCCATAAAAACGTAAGTCTAAAGCTTTACAATGGTCCACTATTTGCTTTTCCTACTCTGGAGTAAATACAGGTCGAAATCTACCAAGAAATTAACGCTGCTGTC